TTTTTTTTTTCCCTTTCCTTTCATTTCTGGATTTATGCGTGTCATCCTTGCGCAGGGGCTATGCTAATCTTACTTCTTCTGTGTATCGCTCCCATTTTAACGGATGTGTCCAAGCACTTATTAAGGTTTTCCGCATTCTGTCCGTTGATCTTCGTTATGTACATGACCGGAACGAGTGGACAGATGCAGCCGAGTGGAGAACCTCACGCTGCCGCTCAGGCAGAGGTGTTTACAGTATTATTTTGCTTAAAAAAAAAAGGAAAAGAAAACACCAGCGGTTTGATAGACGTTGGCGGCTGGTTTTGGGGCGTACTCACACTAGCTCTTTGTTAAATGTATCTGACCACATTTACGGTGGGACCGGCATGCATCTGACCGTAATTACGTCCATAAATAAGTAAGAAAGTCGTAGTGCGAGTATGCACTGAGCTGACGGGGAACGAAACCGAAAAAGGGCCGAGCGGACAGTACCCTTTCAAAGATTCCATTTACCCAAAAAAAGAAAAAAAGAAAGAAAAGAAAAAAAAGAAAAAAAAAGAAAAAAAAGAAAAAAAAGAAAAAAAGCACCTCCATTTACATGCAACAAAAGAAAGTGCACACTGCGGCATATCTTTAATGGCATCTCAGACGAGGAATTTTCTGGATGTACGTGACTGCAATGACGGTCAAGTCTGGATGTATCTGACCGCAATGATGTCCCGAGCTGAGTAGGAAAAGTCAAAGCGTGAGTGGGCCCTAATCCTTCCATTGTAGTTGAAGGCTTTGGTGTGGAAAACAAACGAAAAAAAGAAAGAACAAAAGAAGACAAGGGGGTGGAGAGAGAGAGAGAGAGAGAGAGAGAGTCTGTAGAAAGAGGAAACATTGGAGAGACTCTGTAGAAAGAGGAAACATTGGAAAAGGGTAGCCGCCAAGCGGTGAAAGAGACGACAAGGGCAAAGAAGAGGAAGTTATGCAGAAGTAGGAGGGCATACTTGAAAGAGGTCTGTGCTACACGAGATGAGGAAGAGGAGGAGGAGAGGAGGAGCAGGAGGAGCAGGAGGAGGAGGAAGATGAACAGGAGGAGGAGGAGGAGGAGGTGGAGGAGGGGACAGGAACGGGGCTATATTCATGATGGATGATGGCGTGGGCAATGGCGTTGACAATGGCTTGGATGAATCATGAAGATGGCGAAGTGGATAAATCATGGTCGTGGTGTGGATGATCACGTGAATGAATCATGTGGTGACGTGGATGGATCATTACGGTCAATCAATCAATCAATCAATCAAACAATCAGTCGATGGATTAATCAATCAATCAATCAATCGATGGATTAATCAATCAATTAATCAATGAAGAATCAATCGATCAATCAACGAGTCAATCAATCAATCAATCAATCAATCAATCTCAATCAATCACTCGATCAATAAATCAGTCGATGTATCAATCAATCAATCAATCAATCAATCAATCAACCAAGCTATCAATCAATGAACAAATCAATCAATCAACCAATAAATTGATGCTCGTCATGTGTTGGTGCACTATCCTGAATATGTGCACTGCACATGTTTTCTCTCTCTCTCTCTCTCTCTCTCTCTCCCCTCGAAAGGATTGCTGCCGTATCATACTAATCGAAACTAATGGGGAGCTAAATGAATTTGAGGTCGCTCACCCAATAGTATTCTCGCTCCCCACGGTCCTACACCCACCCTTCCGGCTCCTTTTCAAAGAAATCTCGCCTACCCGCGTTTGTTCCTCCTTGCACGCCCCTAATCTGAATCATAAAAAAAAAAGAAGAGAAAGAATGATGCATCATGTGTCCGACTCTTTCATGAATGCTCTGATGATGTTGTTTTTGTACAAAATCTGGTTCTGGTTTAACTTGCACGCTTCAAACGTCAGAAGAAGCGCATTTTGTAGAAAGGCGAAGGGTAGTAGGGGGAGGTAGAAGCGGAGATGTAGAAAAGTGGAATGGTCAGATGAAGGCTTTTCGGGAGGGGTGGTTTATAAAGGAGTAAGGGGGCAAGCGAGAACTGCTCTTGGTTGTGTCGAAGAAATTTTGTAAACGGTGGGGGGGCTCCATGGGGCTGCTGGGTGTCGCAGTGTAACGAACGGGAGCTTTTAGGGAGGTATGGGGTGATGGGAAAGGGGGGTGGCCTAATTGGGGAGAACTGGGGGAGGGATCGAAAGCAGAGTACGGAGAGTGATTGATATTGACTGCTTGAATCTACCACCTCTCTCTCTCTCTCTCTCTCTCTCTCTCTCTCTCTCTCTCTCTCTCTCTCTCTCTCTCCGTGTTGTGATGTTCGCTATACACAACTCCTCTAAAAAGTGCATCGCTGTGCCAGACTTCTTCGTCGCTTTTCTTTTTTTTGTTTGTTTCTTTGGTGTGTGTGTGTGTGTGTGTGTGTGTGTGTGTGTGTGTGTGAGAGAGAGAGAGAGAGAGAGAGAGAGAGAGAGAGAGAGAGAGAGAGAGAGTTTAACCTCCTGTCTCTCCTCGGAAGAAAGGTATGGGCCGTTCCGTCGCATAACCTCTTTTGCCTACTTCTGCTCCTCCTCCTCCTCCTCCTCCGTCCCTAGGGAGGATTGTGTGCGCTATAGAGAACCTTTCAACGTGTGCTATAGGTAATTATACGATAGCAAACTGCATGTGCTACAGTGAACGACCTCATCATGAACAGTGCCAACAGGGGTAAGGTGCATGTAAATGGGGCTGGGCGAAAGGTGCTCGTTGACGGGCCAGGGAGAAAGGTGCTCGCTCGGTGAATGGGGCAGGCAAATGGGGAGAATATGCAAACGAGAAAGGCGGGCGACGACGGGGGGAGGAGGGAGAGGAGGAGGGGGGGAGGAGGGGGGAGGGGATTGCGGGGATGGAGGGGTCGGGGGCAGGGAGAAGTTGCACGTTTTTAAAATTATTATTATTATTATTATTATTATTATTATTATTATTATTATTATTTAATTCGGAGCAGTTCTCGGTTTATGTGTGCCATGCTCTGCGTCGATCCAAAAAAAAAAACACAGACAAAAAAATGAATTGCCCTTTTAACGAATGTTCTGATCTGAAGTGCACTTCTTTTTTTTGTCTGTGTTTTTAATTTTTTATAATTATAATTTATTACTATTATTGGCGAAAAGCACATATACGCTGATGGGATCCATTCTCCCGATGATGACGATGATGTGGATGAGTGTTGATGATCACATTTACGATAAAGAAAAAGATGAAATTATCATGACTGTAGATGATCACATTTACGCTGCGCTGATGGCATCCATCCTCCTGATGATGACGATGAAGTGATCAGAAGAGGATGAGGTTGGGGAGGATGGAGAGTAGGTGTTTCAAGTAGAGGAGAAAAGAAGATTAATGCTTTGCTAATCACTCACTCACTCACTCAATCAATTGGTAGGGGTGAGGGGGGGGAAAGGGGAGGGGGCAGGGGGGAAGAGAGAGAGAGAGAGAGAGAGAGAGAGAGAGAGAGAGAGAGAGAGAGAGAGAGAGAGAGAGAGAGAGAGATGATATGCGGGAATCTCAAGCACTCCGTTCAAATATTTGTTTTCTCATTTCTGTGGTGTTGAGAGATTGACACAATCAAATAAGGGCAATGCAGAGCTTCTACTGTTCTTCAAAGTACAACAATCAAATGTCATTGAGGGCAATGCACTTTTTCTTTCCTTCTTTTCATCATCTCTCTCTCTCTCTCTCTCTCTCTCTCTCTCTCTCTCTCACACACACACACACACACACACACACACACACACAC